GTGGTTGGGTGTTGTCCTGTGCACCAAAAGGTTGCCGGTTCGATTCCCCATCAGGGCACATGCCAGGGTTGCGGGCTTGACCCCCAGTAGGGGGCGTGCCGGAGGCAGCTGATCAATGTTTCACTTTCACATCGATGTTTCTCTCTTTCTCTCCTCCCCTCTCTCTAAACATCTATTCAAAATCTTTTTAAAAAGGCTGCTTTGAAAACTCTGGGGACTTTTTTAACCTCTGTAATGATGCACCTGTTGTTCTCAGGTGATCTGCCCACTGACGCTAGAAAACTCTGTCTACGCCAGAGACGCCATGGCGAAGGCTGTCTATGGGCGCACATTCACGTGGCTGGTGAACAAAATCAACTCCTCCTTAGTGAACAAGGTCAGTGCCCACGGGTTGGATGGCTTGTTCTCACGAACGTGGTGATGTTTTATAATTTACATCGTTGCCCGGCTGGCACGGCTCGGTGGTTGAGCGTCGATCCATAAACCAGGAGGTCATCATGGTTTGATTCCTGGTCAGGGCATATGCCCGGGTTTTGGGCTTCATCCCCAGTGTGGGACGTGCAGGAGGCAGCCGATCAATGATTCTCTCTCATCGTTGATATTTCTATCAGTCTCTTCCTCTCCCTTCCTGTCTGAAATCAATACAAAAAATTAAAACAATAATTTACACTGTAACCCTAAACAATTTGTGAGAATTAACCATAAGCTCCTGATGGGTAGGGACAGTATCTCCTCACACCAATTGGGCTTCATCCCCAGTGTGGGACGTGCAGGAGGCAGCCGATTACATTCCCAGCACCGAGCACACAGTAGGCTCCCTAAAGTGCCTGCTGAATGATTCTCCCAGTGTGTCCCAAAGTACGGGACGCAGAGCGTGTGAAGCATGCCAGATGCTTGAAGTATATACAGAAACGTTTACTCTCAACAGTAGCATATTCAGTGTGTATCAGAAAAAAATACGACGACTCCTTTGAACTCACCCTCTGATCACACTTCCTTTTTAAGTGGAATTTAAATGAAAAGGGGATTTACTCAAAGCTAGCAATGAAGGAAATGGTACGCAAAGTCAAGGTATGTGGATGGGGCGGAACTCGTGGAGGTTAAGGCTGTGCGGGGCAGATTTGGGAGACATCAGCTCAGTTCAGGCCTGCCTCAGAGAGACTGCGGGCTCATTGCAGACGGCAGTAAAGCGAGTATCGCGATAAAGCCAGTCACATCTCTTTGCTGGTGGAGGGTCTTTCCTTCAATTTGTAACAACGCAACATCTGGGAAGTGCGGTAAGGCTAGGCACTATAACACGAAGTATGCCTGCACACCATTCAGAATGTTCCATTGTGTCCCTGAAAAATAGGTATGCTCTCTCTCACTATCCATCCTTGCCCATAGCACTTGGCCCTCTACTTTAAATGACATCTGTCCCACCTGTCTTTTCCCTGGATAGATGTCTCCTTGGCTGTTTGTCTATAAGGGTCTTTCCCTCCCTCCCTTTTTTCCTTCCAGATCAAATGAGAGCTTGGGAGTCCAGTTGGAGAGGGTTAAGCAAGGCAGTGAATCGGGAGGGGAGGCGTCCCTGCTCGGGTGATGGGCGGGAAGTGGACAGGCCGCAGGCGGGAGTGAGCTGTTTGCTGGTGGAGGGTCTTTCCTTCAATTTGTAACAACGCAACATCTGGGAAGTGCGGTAAGGCTAGGCACTATAACACGAAGTATGCCTGCACACCATTCAGAATGTTCCATTGTGTCCCTGAAAAATAGGTATGCTCTCTCTCACTATCCATCCTTGCCCATAGCACTTGGCCCTCTACTTTAAATGACATCTGTCCCACCTGTCTTTTCCCTGGATAGATGTCTCCTTGGCTGTTTGTCTATAAGGGTCTTTCCCTCCCTCCCTTTTTTCCTTCCAGATCAAATGAGAGCTTGGGAGTCCAGTTGGAGAGGGTTAAGCAAGGCAGTGAATCGGGAGGGGAGGCGTCCCTGCTCGGGTGATGGGCGGGAAGTGGGTGGGAAGTGGACAGGCTGCAGGCGGGAGTGAGCTAGGGAAATGTTTCCACCCGGAGCTGCTTCTGGGAGCCACTGGTGGAGAGAGAAGGCATGAGCTTTGTGGCCACGGCCCCGCTTTGGGGGCAGCCGCTGGGATCTGAGCGTCTCGGCGAGAAAGGCCTAAAGATGAGCGGTGTACTCTCTTGAGTAGGAGTTCACCAAGAAAACCGTGATCGGGCTGCTGGACATCTACGGGTTCGAAGTCTTCGACAAGAATGGGTGAGGCCCTGGGTGCATCTTTCGGGTCCGAGTCTGGCTTCAGGCCTCGCTAATGTGATGGGAGTTGATTTCCTCGTTCCCAGAAATTCTCCAGATTTGTACAGACGGGCGGTTCTAGCAGTAGAATAACCATGGAAAAGGCAATTGTCTTCTAGCTCGAGTCTTGTGGTCTGCTCACTCGAGTATTTGATTAATAAGGATTTTGGTCTTTCTGAATTAGAAAGCATCCTTAAAAATAAGGGACTACAGTAAAACCGAAAGCAACAAATGAACGAACAAAACCAACAAACAAACTTATGGACACAACAGTGTGGTTGTTACCAGAGGGGAAGGGGGCAGTTTACTGCAACGAGAAGCTCCAGCAGCTGTTAATCGAGAGAACCCTAAAGGCGGAGCAGGCAGAATATGAAATGGAAGGGATAGAGGTAAATGTCTTGGTGTTTTCTTCCCATTTGATAACCTCGTGAGAGGCATCTCCTTGAGACACGGGATTTCATTGGCGATTTTCCCTGATTAGTACTGAGAATTATTCTGTACTCCTTCTCTGCCCATTTCCCAGGAAGTTATTTTGATATTCAGAAAGGATTATTATTTTTAATGTTAGAGATATAAATCGGGTTTTCGAAAAAATGTCGGAAAACCCATTTAAAAGAAATACATCTTCTGCTCATCCAAATCCTCCATGGAGAATTCTTTCCTCTTTGTCATTTCAGTGGGAGCCGATTCAGTATTTCAACAACAAGATCATCTGTGACTTGGTTGAAGAAAGACACAAAGGAATCATCTCCATCCTGGTGAGACAATTACCGTTGACTTAGAGCTCATTTACCCGGTGTTCACGATGCACGCAAGGACTTGCATCCTCTTGAAACGGGTACAGCGAGAACAGCACTTGCCTCCGAGAGGAGTTGGGAGGACACATGTAGTGAGATGATGTAGGCAGAGGGCTCAGAGCCATGCCTGTCCCGTGGTGAGCACTCAGGCTTCATTCATTCATTCATTCATTCATTCGACAAACACTCATCGGACGCTTGCTTTGGGCCAGGATTGTGCCCTGTGCTTTGGGACTCAGCAGTGGAAAACCAGTGCAGGCTTTGGATTCTAGCAGGGAGAGACTGACAACAAACAGGTTAACGGGCAACGTGTGTAGACTGTGCAATGGAGAAAAAGGACGAGATGAGAGGTGCTGGGGAGGGCAGCTCCATTTTAGATCCTTGATGGTTCAGGAAGGACTCACTGAGAAGGTGACATCTGAGCAAAGACCCGAAGGAGGTGAGGGCACCAGCCATGGGGACATCTGGGGAAGCACGGGCTGACGTACGCGAGTGTCTGTACATTCAAGGCTCGGGGGGACTGCTAGACCAGTATGTTAAGGTATTTGGGGCACTAGCCAGTTTGGCTCCGTGGATAGAGTGTCGACCCGTGGACTGAAGAGTCCTGGGTTCGAATCTGGTCACAGGCATGTACCTCAGTTGCAGGCTCAATGCCCAGCCCGGTCAGGCATGTGTTGGAGGCAACCAGTTGATGCGTCTCTCTCATCGATGTTTCTCTCCTTCTGAATCTCCCCCTCCCTTCCATTCTCTCTAAAAATCAATGGGAAAAAATATCCTCAGGTGAGGATTAACAAAAGATATTTTAGTAAAAAGTACTTAATCCCATTGGTTCTCCATTAATAAGATCAGCATAAAAATGCTACTTAATAAGAGTTGTCTTGCCAACCTTAACCAGGTTTTTATTGTTGTTACTGTTGTTTTAATAAAAGCTACATGGTTGATTCATCTTTAATTTTTTAAAAATGTTATATATTTTTAGAGCGAGAGAGAGAGAGAGAGAGAGAGAGAGGAAGGGAGAGAGGGGTAAAGAGATAGAAACATCAATGAGAGAGGAATGTCATCCATCAGCTGCCTCCTCCACGTCCCCTACTGGGGATGGAGCCCACAACCTGGGCATGTGCCCTGACTGGGGATTGAACCGGCAACCTCTTGGCTCCTGGGTTGACTCTCAACTGCTGAGCCACACCAGCCAGGCTCATCGTTATTTTTTTAAAGATGGCCAGTGAAATGTTATCGCTGGGGAGGACCCAGAATAGAAAACACAAAGGCAGAGCTCGAGAAATACGAGACGTTAGGCCCAAGTGGTTTTATAGTTTGTTTCCCATGAGGCTTTGCTCTGAGTAAAGGGGGATCTGTATGTTCCTTGCCAGAGATGCGTAGTTAAGAAAAAAATGAGGTTGCGTGTGTAAGCAAGCTGGGCATGGAAGGTGTGGGGTGTCTTTGGGAAGACTTTGGGGATAAGCCTCAGCTCTGAGGTGGCAGAGCTGCTTTCTCATGGAATTTCCAGTCTCTCTGGTTCCGTGGTTCTCTTGAAAAAAAAAAAAATCTGAGAACATGTGATGGGTTAGGCCCCCTCCCCGGAAACGTTCCCCTGAACTTGAGTGAGATGACCGCATGTGAGTGCAGGACATTGTCAGAGCTGGTGAGCGTGTTTAAACTTGGACGTGGTGGGGTGTGTTGCTGTGGCTCGAGGCTTCTCTTCTTCGTTTGAAGGATGAAGAATGTATCCGTCCTGGTCCCGCTTCTGACTTGAGTTTCCTGGAGAAGTTAGAAGAGAAAGTGGGGAAGCATGCGCATTTCCAAACGTAGGTATTGCGTGTGAGGAGCTGTTGCGTCGTTGCAGGGCATATCCGTTTTCTTCGGGAGGTGGGCGGTGCTCCCCAAGAGTACAGCTACGTCTTCGTAGTAGAAATCCCGTTATGATGCACACAGTCATATTCAGCAGGCCCTCGGGTAAGGTTGTTTCCATTATAAGGTTGATGAGATGCTGTAGAAACTTGACTCTTACATCAAACAGCTTATGGTAAAAGTGGTTTTATTATATGTTCTTTTGCCACCGTTCCAAGAACATATTGACTATGTTAAGTGAGGACTTGCTGTATATGCATCCTTTTTGTTAGTAAAAAATCAAACTCGAATTCCACGTCAAAAAATTTTTTTTATTGATTTTAGAGAGGAAGGGAGAGGGGGAGAGAGAGAGAAACATCAATGATGAGAGAGAATCATTGATTGGCTGCCTCCTGCACATCCCAAAACCCAGGTATGTGCCCTTGACTGGAGTCGAACCCAGGACCCTTCAGTCCACAGGCCGATGTTCTATCCACTGAACCAAACCAACACTCTTGCGTCTGTGTTTCCCATTCTACAAGGTGGGGATGTTAATATACCTACCATCTAGAATTATAAGTGACTGTATAAGTCATCCGGTGCAATTTCTGACCATAGTAAGGATTCCATAAATGGTAGTGGCTTTATCAAACCTCTTGTAGAATGTTAAAATGATATGTAAAACGAATTGGATAACTAAATGAATCAAGAATGGAAAAATAAATTGTGGTATATTCACATATGGAATGAAATACAGCCGTTAGAATGAACAGTCTATAACTTCATGAAAGAAAGATTGTTGAGCTGTATACACTGAGGATATGTGTGTGTGTGTGTATACATGTCAAGAAAAAGTTACTTAAACATTAGGAATCACCACAATCCGAAATATGATATTTCATGAGTATTTTAGTCTCGCGACATCATAATGATGTAAGGTGGTAAAATCGTTTCTTAGTTGTCACCCGGAAAAATGGAAGTGACTTCACTGTAAAAGTAACTGTTTCTGCGGTTCATACCTGTTTTTATTCCTCAGTGTGTGGGAAGGGAGGGTCTCCTGTTAGCCCTTGGTCTCACCAGGATGAGACAGCAGCAGGGTTTCCTGGGAGCTGCCCCCGGTGGTCCGCTGTCCGTGCCAGCCTTCAGCTGGCTGTGGGGTCCTGAGCCCCGTCAGAGCCCCCGCTCCCTCTGCTTTGTACTTCGGTGCATTTTGCTGCCGTGATGAGAAAGGCTCAGCTTGTGTCTGTGTCCATCTCGCCGCAGCCGGAAGCTGGCGGGTCCAAACGGCCGCAAGAGGATTGGCTGGATGGAGTTCCGACTGTTCCACTACGCGGGGGAGGTCACCTACTGCACCAAAGGTGGGTCCCTGGGCACAGGCCGCAGCCAGGCAGGGCCTCCGTGTCCTCTGGGGAAAGGCTGCACGTCCCTCCCAGGCGCTCCCTCACCCAAGGCATAGTCTCCCCTGGAACTCAGTGCCCCTCCATTGTCTCAATGCCATTCCCTGGTGTGGTGTTCTTTACTAACGGCTAGGGCACTGTACCATGCTCAGTGTGAAGGCTGTGCATTCCCGTGGCAGCTCATGGGGATATAGAATGGAGTGTGTGTGCCATGAGGTTAGCATTGAGGACCTGGTTCTCCGGATGTCCCCCAGGGACGTCTGACAGAGTCTAGAGACATCCGGTTGCCACAAGTGGAGAAGATGCCACTGGCACCTCGATGCTCAGTGTGAAGGCTGTGCATTCCCATGTAGGGTGCTCATTGTGAAGGCTGTGCCTTCCTGGGTACCATGCTCAGTGTGAAGGCTGTGCCTTCCCGGGTATGATGGTCAGTGTGAAGGCTGTGCCTTCCCATGTAT